GGCTAATCAAATTAAAGGAACGCCCTGCTCCTTCCCCACACCTGCTGCTGCTCGGGGGCCCTGGGCTGGATAGGAAGTTGTAGGGCCTTGCCAGAAAGTTGTAGGGCCTTGCCAGAAAGCCTAGCCCCAAGAAGCCCCACTGTAGCTACAGGCCTGATGGCACCTCACAGAACATAGGGATTATTGGGTCCCTTCATCTCGTCTTTCTGAACTCTTCACCCCAACCGTATTTTCTAAGGAAATTTGGCAGGCAAAGTGGTGGGTAGCTCACACAGAGGCTTTTGGCAGCAACTGTGACTCATCAGTGACTTCAGCGGATGATGAATGTTAGCGGAGGCATTTGGAACCAGCCAGAGAAGGGAGCTCACAGTAGCGGAAAAGGAAGGAATGCAGAAGTTTCACAGTAGTCTAGACCAGAGAGATCTGCATAAGCATTTTGACAGGAAGTATGGAGGGAAGGGAGATGGGACGGAAGATCTGGTAATTAACATCTTTGTCACAGGCAGCCCAAATCTTTGATCACAGGCCTTAATATGGATGTATACGTAAAGCAAGAAGAGGTTGTGGTTGAGTAGACGATGCAGCTGTATGTGTCATTTTTAATACTTTCTTTTATTAGCAAATTCCCTGCAAGCACATCACACTTTTATTAGCAAATCCCATGCGAGCACATCACACTGAAGAATTAACTCAGCTCAGTTCATTGTTAGGCTGGTCTTCCACTTTCAAAGGGTTTTCTGACCTGTAGCCTGAAGTGGCATGGTCTGTTCTACCACCGCATCCCCACATCTTGCTGTTGTTTGTAAACCACTTCTAATATCTTCACCATCAACAGAAAGTATGGTTGAGGTCAGCCCCACCCACCTCACAGGGTGTCTGTTGTGGGGAGGGGAAGGGAAAGGCGTTTGTAAGCCGCTCTGAGACTCCAAGTGAAGGGCGGGGTATAAATCCAATCTCTTCTTCTCTTCTTCTTCTTCTTTATAGGGTTTCCTGCTCTTGGCTGGGAAATTCCTGGAGATTTTGGGGGTAGAGTCTGAAGAGGGCGGGGTTTGTGGAGGAGAGAGATTTCAGCGGGATATAATATGAAGTCCACCTTCCATTTTCTCCAGAGTATGTCTAGAGATTAGTTTGTAACGTTGGGAAATCTCTAGCCACCACCTGGAGGCTGGCAACCCTAGGCCGTCATTACTTTTTCTCATCTGAGGTAAAAGTTATTTTTGTCCTCAGATCTTTCTTGTTGCACTTAGGTGGCAGCCAGGAAGCACCTCCAAGAGAGCATTAGCTGTGTTGGCTTAGAACCATTTTAGGAAGTGTGTCTGCCACCATCTTGGTCAGAGGTGTCAAACTCATTTGTCATGAGGGCCGGATCTGACATAAATGTCAATTTGTCGGGCCGGGCCATGTGTGCCATAAAACGTAATGCCAGGTACCGGAGATATAAACTGAATAAAGGACAGCAGCTGGTAAGCTCCCAGTTGTTGTATCCTCACTGCAAGGCCCCATGGGCTGGGGGGTCCCCAAAGGAAAACCCACATGGGTGGACTGGAGAGCCAGCGGTGCAGCGCTGGGCAGATGCTCCCATGATGCTTGACTGCTACAGATGAGGTTTTTCTGCCATGCTGAAGCCACAATCGAAGTGGCTCCGTCCACTCCCCCTGGAGCAGTCTCCTGTTCCCTCCCTAGCACCAGTTGCTCGCAGGCAGCATAAAAACCCTGGATGGGCCGATTCCGGCCCCAGGGCCTTATGTTTGACACCTCTGATCTTGGTGATATTCAGCCTGTGTTCTCACTTGTAACATAAGAAACTGGAACTGGCAAGCTGAGTCCTAGGAATGACATGTTTGGGACCAAAGTTGTCCTCAGTTTGCAGACTGAGGCAGCAAAAAAGATCAGGTTGCCCTTTCCAGTTAACGCTTTGTGAATTAATGGAGACCGTAAGGCTAAATAATGCCGTTTCAGACTACTTCAGTGATCATTTACAAGTGGATTTTGCATACATTAAAATAGGGCTGGGTAGTACCTGGCCCCATCCCCCAGCAGTATTGCTCCAGACTCCACTCATCTGATGGCTGCGTCCAGGGGTTATTTCCTACAGGAGCACACAGGAGCGGAGCTCCGGCAGTAAAGAGCCCAGGGGGCGGGCACATGCAAAAAGCCCCACCCCCTGCTCCCAGCAGCCCTCAGTCAGAGCAAGAAGCAGCCAGGTAAGTTGCAGAGCCCCCACCCCCCCCACCCCCCAGTCCAAAACAGTCCCAGTGGCACCTTTAAGACCAAGTTTTATTCAGGTACAAGCTCTCCCTCCTCTGCAAGGACAGATCTGCATGTCCCCCCACCCCTCCAATAGCTAGCAATCCAAAACAGTCCAGTGGAGCCTGAGCGGTGGGTGTTGCCTCCTGACACACTTCCGGTGATATCAGGGGGTGTGGCATATGCAAATAAGTTATGCTAATGAGCTCCTGCACCTCTTTTTCTACGAAATGACCCCTGGCTGCATTCAAGACTCTCCCTGGCACAGATTTTTCAAGAGAAGTATTGACAGAAAGAGGGTTCCTCGGGGGGGGGGACTTTCTTTAGCTCATCACGACAGGCCACTTAGAATTAGTAGGAGTGACCGAAGGGAGCACACTTATTCTAAGCAGCTTTAAACTAAACCAGAACTGTATTTGTTCACATTGTAGGTCTCTAACACTGACAGTTCACAGACCCTAGACACCAGGATTTGGTGAGAGAGGGCTCTAGAACTGTCTGTGATTGTGAAGGAACCATGTTTTTTTTCCATTCATTTGAAGACACACTTGGAAGTATGGCCGTCTCAAGAGACAATTCACACGCTACAAAGCACTCGTGTCTGCCATGTGACTCATTGACAGACATGTTCTGGGTGTTTCATGATCAGAAATTAATTCTCAGACATGTAGAACCCACTTTAAATGGGAGGGTAGCTTAAGCTGCCCCCCCCCCCCCAGGCTGAAACAGTCACAGGAGGAGCTGCTTGTCCCAACAATTAAATTTTCAGTATACATAAGTTTCCCTAGTGGGGTAAACAGCAGATCCCTATTGTCATTTTGGGTTAAAAAATGGAGCGGGGGTGTGTGTAAAACCCCTTCTTCTCATACGCTATGGGCCCTACATGGCCCAGAACGGCTATTAGTCACAACATATAGATGGAACACTCTGGCTTGGGCAGTGATGCTCTGTGTTCTTGGTGCTTGGCGGGCAAGAGTAGGAGGGCTTCTGGAGTTCTGGCCCCACTGGTGGACCTCCTGATGGCACCTGGTTTTTGGCCACTGTGTGACACAGAGTGTTGGACTGGATGGACCATTGGCCTGATCCAACATGACTTCTCTTACGCTCTTAATTGAGTTCTCAGCAGAGAACTCTCAGCATCGTCTATATTGTCCTCTAATTGGGGTGGGGGTGGCTGTTTCGGCACTTGAAAAGGTGCTGTGGGGAAAACAAGAACACCTGAGCTCACTACACTGTGGGCCTACTAGGCATTTTAATTCACTTTAAAATCATGCTGTTGGCAGTATCCACAGGTCAAACCCGTGGACACTGTCATGTCTAGTTTGGGCCTTAGCAAGGCTAGCTAACTATGGTGCTGGACTATTCCCATGTGGCCCAGCGCTTCCTCATTACTTGAGCATTCTGAGGGTTGAATCCTATGGTTCTAATAATGGTGCTCTCCTCCAGAACAAGAAGCCTAACAACTTCCTGCCTTGGAGGAAAATGCTGCTGTTAGTAAACCAGATCTGTAGGATTGGGGCAGAGGGGCTCAGTGGGTGAGCTTCTGCTTTGCATGTGGGCGGTCCCAGGTTCAATCCCTGGCATCTCCATTTAAAAGGATTAGGTGATGTGAAAGAGCTTCTGCCTAAGATTCTGGAGAGCCTCTGTTAGTCTGAGTGGACAATAGTAATCATCATCATCATCATCATCATCATCATCATCAAATGGCATTCTGTGTAGTATAGCCAGGAGATCCTAAGATTGTCTGGCAGCCTAAAGTTCTAGCTGTTTCACACCACTAGGTGGTGAGCTAGAGTTGTTTTTGAGACAAGAGACAACTCAGAGGTGGTTTGCCATTGCCTGCCTCTGTGTCATGACCCTGGTATTCCTTGGAAGTCACCCATCCAAGAATTAGCCAAGACCACCCCTCCTTAGCTGAGGAGATCGGGCTAGCCTGCGCCATCCAGGTCAGGGTTAGTAGACAGTGGTGACCTTAATGGACTAACAGTCTGATTCAGTGTAAGACAGCTTTGTATGTGTTCGTGTGTGGTTGTTTCTTGCTGGTGTTCAGTTGCTGTTCTGGTAACCTAAGGCCTGAGACCATGGCTAGTGTGTGTCGAGCTGAACCTGTATCCTGGGATTCCCAGCTCTTTGAGTAGATTCAGAGCAGACACAAGGAAGTTCTTCCTTACACAACACATAATTCATGTATGACTTCATTGTCACAAGATACGATGGCCACTAGTTTAGGTTAACATAGAAGGCAGAAAAATGCATAGAGGGGAGGGAGGAGGAGGAGATTGGATTTATACCCCACCCTTCACTACCCAAAGGAGTCTCAGAGCAGCTTACAATCTCCTTTCCCTTCCCCTCCCCAAAATAGACACCCTGTGAGGTAGGTGGGGCTGAGAGAGCTCTTTCAAGAACTGCTTTTGAGAGAACAGCTCTGAGAAAGCTGTGACTGACCCAAGGTCACGCCAGCAGCTGCATGTGGAGGAGTGGGGAATCAAACCCACTTCTCCCATATTAGAATCCACACTCCTAACCGCTACACCAAACTCTGTTAATGACAGAGCTCTGTCAATGGCAGTTAGTCATGATAGCTAGATGGAACCTCCATCTAAAGGGGCTGTATATCTCTTTGTTTATCAGATGCTGGGGAGAAACAGCGGAATCACATCACCTATGTATTTGGACTAGACGGACCTTTTGATTTGATCCAGCATGACTCTTCACTCAAGCGACTATGTTTTCTTTCCTCTCTAGGACTTACCATGGCTGGTATAAAGACAGCCAGTGGGGAATATATCGATGACTCTTGGGAGCTCAGCGTGTTCGTGGAGGATCTGGGGTCTGAGGCTGACCCGGTCCCACTCCGGATCTCCGGCAGCATGCATATCGGAGGCGTCATGCTCCAGATAGTGGATAAATTAGGTAAGTCCCCCATGTGCCTTTTGTTGACTTGGAAATGATAGAACAAGCTTGTGAATACATAAATACTCCAAAAAAAGATATTATATTGATTACATGGGGAGGGGACTCAAGGGGGAGGGGAAAATTCTGTCCTCCCTTCCACTGCTGGCCCCAGCTTTCCCCGATGTTCTGGTCAGTGTTCCCTCTAAACTGAGTTAGTGTGAGCTAGCTCACAGTTTTTTAGCCTCCGGCTCACATATTTTCGCCTTCGCTCAGGAAGGATGGCTCCAGAGCAAACTAATTTATGCAGTAGCCAAATCGCTTGCTCACAACTTTAATGCCAGTGGCTCACAAAGTAGAATTTTTGCTCACAAGACTCCACAGCTTAGAGGGTTCCACTATGAATTCTTTTCTCCTGTCTGGTCTTCCTTCCTACCCATCCTGTTCTCCACCAGCCACCTCAGGGTTGCCAACCTCCAGGCAGGACGTGGAGATCTCCCAGAGTTACAATGGATCTCCAGAGTCAATGTTCCCTCTAAGCTGTGGAGTCTTGTGAGCAAAAATTCTACTTTGTGAGCTACTGGCATCGAAGTTGTGAGTGAACGGTTTGGCTCCTGCATTAATTAGCTTGCTCTGGAGCCGTCCTTCCTGAGCTAAGACGAAAAGGTGTGAGCTGGAGGCTAAAAAAATTGTGAGCTAGCTCACACTAACTCAGCTTAGAGGGAACACTGTTCCAGGCTATAAAGATCAGTTCTGGAGGAAATGGCTGCTTTCGAGTGTAGACCGTATGGCATCGTACCTCACTAAGGTTCCCCCCCTCCCCAAACCCTGCCCTCCCCAGGCTCCATCCCCAAATCTCCAGGAATTTCCCAGCACCGAGTTACATTCTTCCCCTTGCTCCCCCTGTCCCAAACATTTCTTCCTTTTTTGACATCAGTTGTTGGCAGTGTTCCCTCTAAGCTGAGTTAGTGTGAGCTAGCTCACAGTTTTTTAGCCTGTGGCTCACACTTTTTTGTCTTCGCTCAGGAAAGACGGCTCCGGAGGAAACTAATTTATGCAGCAGCCAAATCGCTTGCTCACAACTTTAGTGCCAGTAGCTCATAAAGTAGAATTTTTGCTCACAAGACTCCACAGCTTAGAGGGAACAAACTTGTTGGTAGCCATTTGGGGTTTAAAAAATGGCACCTGATGTCTTTTGGGGGGGAGGCGGTGTTTCTGTGAAATTTGTGTATACATAGATGGCACAGCTACTGTTTTTTGGAGTTTTTTTTTTTAAAAAAAACCCCCACAGTTCTTCGAGGTTTGCAGAAACCTAGCTGTGCGTGATACCTTGTGTGGGCTTTTGGTCCCCACGAGTGGGGGAACTAGATAAGGTACACAAAGTACTTCTTTTTTTTTTCCTTTGTCAAATTCTTTTTTTTTTAATCAACAAAGGTTTATTCAAGGTTTTCAACATGTAACAATACAAGAATATAATAACAATATGATGAGAAGAGCAAAAGGAATAACAACAAACATTAGTTAACATTATCTAAATACAGAAGGAGGTATCATTATGCTCATTAACATAACTTCTATCTTGCTGCTAACTACAGTTCATTGATGGGTTAGTAGCTTTAGCCTATATGTTACTTTAAACCAGGGCTATTTTTGGGCAGGAACGCACAGGAACGGAGTTCCGGCTGGCTCCCAAGTTGGCCACGCCCAGCAGGAACTCATTAGTATAATAGGCCACACCCAACAACAGCAACTCATTAGGATTGGCTACAATTAGGGGTGTGTGGCCTAACATGCAAAGGAGTTCCTGCTACAAAAAAAGGCCCTGGGTTTTGGCAACAAACAAGGTAAACAGAATAACAAGCAAAAGGTGGGTGTGGCTGGATAACCACACTTCTGGTAACATGGGGGTGCGGCCTAATGTGCTAATGAGCTGTGCTGTCAGGGGTGTGGCCCAATAGGCTAATGAGTTCCTGCTGTTGGGTGTGGCCTATTATGCTAATGAGTTCCTGCTGGGCTTTTTCTACAAAAAGAGCCCTGCTTTAAACAATTCTATTTTCAGAAACAAAGCCAGTATTTATCATTAGCAAAAGAGGGAACCACTTCCTTTTCTGACAGAAACTGAATTATTGGAAACCACTTACATATAAAAGGTGTTTGATAATCCCCGTTAGTGTGATTTGCTATGCCATCCGCTATTTTCCCCATAATAAATTGCATCCAAAGTTTATCATACCACAAGTCTAATGACGGGCCTGCGACTGATTTCCATCTAGCAGCTACAGTCATTCTAGCCACAGCCAATAATAAAGAGATTGTTTCTGTCATTTGTTTTGGGGGAAGAGACTCCAGCCACACTTCAAGTAATATGAATTTAGGATTAAAAGGTATCACCAGACCAGTACTTCTAAATAACGACACTAGGGTGGATCCAGACTAATGTCTCTGTGCATGCAAGGAGCATCAGTTTCCCATCTCCCCCCCCCCCCCTTTCTACATCAGCCCGAAAAAGCCTTCCTGAAATCCTCTTCCTGGGGGGAGAAAGGATCCTGGGAACAGAATTTCAGGGGTCATTTTGGGCTGTTGCGAGAGGAGGAAGTAGGAAAACAGTGCTCTGTGGGAGGAAATCCTTGCACCTGTGAAAACTTCTCATCCGAACCCAAGCCATTATCTTCTTGTTTCCCTTCTTTCAAGCCACAGCCAACCTATGGTTGGGGTTGCCAGCCTCCAGGTGGGGCCTGGAGATCTCCTGCTTTTACAACTGATCTCCAGCTGACAGAGATCAGCTCCCCTGGAGAAAATGGTTGCTTTGGAGGGTGGACTCCATGTCACTGTACCATGCTGAGGCCCCTCCCCTCCCCAAACCCCACCCTCTCCTGGATCCGCCCCCAAAGTCTCCAGGTATTTTCCAACCCGGACCTGGCAACCCTACCTATGATGATCCCAACAAGGGGCTTTCAAGGCACGTGAGAAGCAGAGGTGGTTTGCCATGGCTTTCCTTGGCAGAGCCTTCCTTGGTGGTCTCCCCATCCAAATACTGACCATGCCTAGCTTCTGACAGCTGGTGAGATCAGGCTATACCATGCTACTTTCCCTCCCCTCTCCTCTCTCAATCTGCTTTTCCTTTGCACTGTGATGTTCTGCTTCATGTTCCAGCAGTATGCTTTACAGCACTTTTGCAGAGCAGTGGGTCGGCAAGAGCTGCACTGCTTAAGGCTACCAACCTCCAGGCAGTCGCTGGAGATCTCCCGCTATTACAATGGGTCTCCAGGCAACAGAGATCAGCTCACCTGGAGAAAATGGCCGCTTTGGAAGGTGGTCTCTACGGTGTGTCATGCCCTATTGAAACCCCTCCCCAAATTCTGACATCCTCAGGCTCCATCCCCAAAATCTCCAGGTATTTCTCAACCCTGAGCTGGCAGCCCTACCACCGCTTTCCAGACAGTGCCCAGTTGCTGTTCCATCTAACAGACGCAGGAGTGAACTAAGCCCAAAGACAAAGCTAGAAATAAAAGTTTTGTTATTTCTGTGCATGTTTTTAAGTTTTGCCCTAGGGCTCCCAGAGATCCAGTGTAAATAAGTGACTTCTAGCTGAGCACAGAAACGTCTGTCTGTGCAGTTCACAAAATACAATAAAGATGGATCTGACTCTATCCAGTTGCATGTGTATGGGGGGGGGGGAATACCAGTGACTCAGCTAGGCATTGTGGTCAGATCCCTTTTCCCCTGTGGGTTTCTGGAATCCCTCTGATAAACATTAGGACACTTTCACCCTTAGGGGCTGATGCTAAACCCCCTCATCCCTGCTTGGTTTAGGGGTGTGATAACCAGGCCAGGAAATGACACAACCGTTCATAAACTTAGCTCCTCTCCAGTCATTTTACCACCCAGCTTGGTCTTTGCAATCCTGTCAATTTGACGGGGAAGGGGAGGTTATTTGCATGAAGGTGGGGAAAAACAAGGGTGTCAGCACTGTAGTGTGGGATACAACCTGGAGGGGGAAATCTCCTTCCACTGGAAAAGCAACTATGTATGATTGTACTAGTGACAGTCCCTGCTTCCAGGTCCCTATTTTCTGGGTAAGTCACTGTCCCTATATTGGGGATGCCTCAAAAAAAATCATAGCTGAAGTTAGTTTCAAAGGGTGGCTATTCCGGTCTGTAGTAGAACAGCTAGGTTCGAGTCCAGCCACACCTCGGAGATCAACAGGAAAATCTTATTGGTCTCCAGGGTGCTACTGAACTCGAATATTGAATGAAAACAGATATTCCGAGACAGGGGGGAACTAGGGTCCATTCTGCATCTGGCATTTGCTCCACATTTTCTCATCACTCGACCTGGTTCCCCCTTGCCTCAGAATGTCTGTTTTCATTCAATCTGGTATGCAGATTTTCCTGTGTCAGTACTTGCCTCAGTGGTTATTAGCCGCCTGAACCAAGTAATTAATGGCGAAGTGATAAATAAAGAGGGGGAAATAGGGCGGGGGAACTGTGGGAGATCAGTGAAGCCATGTCAAGTCGTTTGCTTATTGTTCCCTTCCAATTGGAAGCGGAGGAAGGATAAGGTGCTGCTCAAAACCACATTCAGATACCCCAGGCCAATGCTATACTGACTGCAAAGTCACCCCTGAATGGCCATAAATCTATGCAGAGGGTACCATAAAACCCAACGAGCAAAGAAAGTGAAAGCGGCATGCAGTGTAGAGGGAGATTAACCTCCCAACGTGGCTGTGGAAAAACTGCGAGGAAACAGATGGGTGCAGAATCAGCTCAGGTCGAGTGCTGAGAAAATGTGGAGCAAATGCCTGATGCAGAATGGACTTAGCTGAAGCTGTCATTGTTCAAAGTTAACCCATTTCTAGAGGCTTCGTCCTGGCAAAGAGGTTACATCTTATGTCTAGAGCCTTTACTTATTTATTATTTATTTATTCAAGTTACTTATAGTCTGCGTTTCTCACTGGGAGTCAAGACATAAGAACATAAGAGAAGCCAATGTTGGATCAGGCCAATGGCCCATCTAGTCCA